GGGGCAAAAATAGGCTTACAGTTGTTTCGTATGGAAAATTATACAATAACTAGCGGCCCGGTGCATAAGAATTCATGCACTGGAAGGGGGGGTGGGAGGGTCCCTCAGCCCGGCATGCCCCCTTTCACAGTCTGGTTGCCCTCAAAAGTGAAGGCAACTCCCCCAATCACACCTGTGCTCCTGCCACCGCCAGCAGCACAAGTCTCGGCTGGCCCTGGTTACCTGAGCCTCAGGTGGCTCTGAGGCTTGCCTGCGCCTTGGGCGTCGACTGAGCAACCGCCTATCCAGGACCCTTCAGTCTGTAGGCCAACAACACAATATCCACTGCACCTCGGCCTGACCCTAGGCGGCTGGGCAGTCGCCATCCAAAGCTTGCCTGTGCCTTGAGCCAGAACTGGATGGCTGGGGGGTTGAGGGCAGGTCCAGCCACACCCCATGCAGGACTTGGGGACTCCAGTGGGGCTGAGGGGACTGGGTGTCGTCATCTTGTGGCTATGGGCGCCACCATATTTGTGAAGGTGTGAGGGTCTATTTGCATATTCCCTCTTTATTAGAGAGGATAAATAATAATACAAGAATAAACTCTGGCCGAAACTGGTTTGGCTCAATGGATAGAGCATCAGCCTGTGGACTGAAAGGTCCTGGGTTCAATTCCGGTCAAGGGCATGTACCTTGGTTGCGGGCACATCCCCAGTGGGGGAGGGGGTGTGTGCAAGAGGCAGCTAATAGATGATTCTCTCTCATCGATGTTTCTAACACTCTATCCCTCTCTCTTCCTCTTTGTAAAAAAAAATAAAAAATAATAAATAAATAAATAAATAAATAAAATATATTAAAAAAGAAAAAAGAAAAAAGAATAAACTCTGTGTTTCATGTACTCCCAGCTGCAAACCTACTTTTGGCCCCAGCTTGTATATCTGACAAGAGACTTGTATGTAGAATACTTAAAGAACTCTCACATCTCAATAATTAAAAGACAAATGAACCAATTGAAAAATAGGCTAAGGATTGTAATAGACCATTCCCCAAAGATATGCAAATACCGATAAGCACATGAAATGATGCTCAACATCAATAGTCATGATGGAAAAACAAGTCAAACTATCAATACAACTTCACACTCACTATAATGGCTATAAGCAAAAAGACAGACAATAATAAGTGTTGACAAGGATGTGGAAAAATTTGAGCCACTATACATTATTTATGGGACTGTAAACTAGTTCAGCTACCTTGGAAAACTTACAAAAATAAACACAGACTTACCATGTAATGCAGTAATTTTACTCTTAGTATCTACCCAAGAGCAATGAAAACACAGGTCCACAAAAAAACTTGTACACAGATGTCCAGAGCAGCATTATTCACAAAAGCCAAAGGTGAAAACAACCCAAATGTCAATCAACTCTTGAATGGATACTCAAAATATGGTATAGCCATACAATTGAATACCACCTGTCAATTTAAAAAAGGGTATTGCTGATACATGCTACAACATGGAGGAATCTTGAAAACACTGTGTTCTGTAAAAGAAGCCAGTTGTAAAGACCACATATTGTAAAATTCCATTCCATTATATTATCCCTAGGCAAATACTTAGAGAAAGTAGAATTACTGGTTGCCTAGGGCTGGGGATAGGTGGTAGGAATGTAGAGTGACTGATATAAATAGGTAAGACGTTCCTTTTTTAAAGTGATGGAAATGATCTAAAATCAGATTGTGGTGATGGCTGTATAACTATAAATATACTAAAATTCACTAGATTGTATACTTAAAACATTTTTATGTTTTTATGTTATGTAACCTAGAGGCCCCATGCATGAATTTGTGCACAGGTGGGGTCCCTTGGCCTGACCGGGATCGGGCCTTATCAGGGCCACAGGAGGTTGGCTGGCCAAGGAACGGGGCCACAGGAGGTTGGCTGTGGGAGCACACTGACCACCAAGGGGCAGCTCCTGCGTTGAGCATCTTCCTCCTGGCGGTCAGCGTGTGTCATACTGACCCTCATTCAGTTGTTCGGTCGCTTAGACTTATATACATAGATATCTCAAAAAAAGCTCTTTAACTTAAAAAACATTGTGGCTTCCACCTGTTGCCTCGGCTTCATCTGGAAGGAGGTTCAGAATGACATCCAGGTTGTCCGGTTTAATTAGCATAATATGCTCTTATTATTACAGATGATAATGTATCCCAATTACTGGTTTACATGGTTTCCTCCCCTAAAATCAGAGAGCAAAACATTTTCTTAGTCATTTTTGGGATCATTAGTACCATCTAGACTAAAAACCAAGTGCTCAAGAAACACAGGTTTAACAGGTCTAATCAATTCTTTACTCTTCGTTCTTCAGCTTTTATAGTCACTGTCATCAATTTATCTACCACCTAATATATCCAAGGTACTGGAAATACTTAAGACTTGTCCTGGTTTTTCATCCATTCAATGAATTCATTCAACAAATGAATACTTACCACATACCAGGGGCTGAAAATTGACATGGGATATGTTCAAAGAACCAGGTCTCAAGGACCTTTCAGGATCGCACAGACAAGTAAATTGATTGTACAGCGTGTGTGTTAGATGCTATTGAAGAGATATGTGCAGGCTGCTGAACAGCAGCAGGGATGATGTGGAGTTCGCACGCTACTCCAGAAGACATGCACAGAAAAAGATGAGAGCCTGGCACTGTGACACAGCCTGAGCACCCACTGAGTAATCTGTTTTCCAAGTTACACTGAATTAATTCACACTTAAAGAAAAGATACTGTTATGGAATGATTTTCAGGTTTTCATTCAACCAACATCTCCCCAGTGCCAAGTAACCCACGTAGCACTTTTCCAATGGGGTCTTATTCACGTTTCACGTTTTGTAGATGAGAGAAGTGAGTCTGAAAGAGTGAAGAGACTTGTCCAAGGCTACACAGCGAGTCAGCAGCAGAGCTGAGATTTAGAGTGAAGTCTTCCAATCCCATGTCCAGGTATACTACGCGACTTTAGGCTACAAAACTGAAACCATTTCCATGTCTTGCATGTGATTTTAATGCCTTTTCACTCATCCTGTGGCACACAATACAGCTTTTGGGCACAAATGGGCAATCACCAACTGCTGACTTGATATGGCTAAATCCTTGTCCACATTTTGAGAAGCAAGGGACCACTGTCAGATCAGATTACTCTGTCGCCTATGTGGCATCATGTGCCAACAGGAGCACAGTTGGCTGAAGATGCGTGAATTTTTCAAGTCCTATTTTAGCAGTGTTTTTGACCACTATATCCGGTCAGTCCTTCCAATGTTCGGCAAGGAATCAAAACGAACTGTTCATTTCCTTTGACAGTTAACAGCACTAATGAATTCAGCACAATCTCACCATCCATCAGAAAAATTTCTGAAATGCAAACTTAAAGCTGGTGATTCACACAGTAGAGAAAGGGAAATAAAGCAGTACTCATTGTTTTCGACAAAACTGGCATTGTTTGCAAAACCCAGAAACTGAGCAGTTGGTTGACGACTAATAACAAGAAGGTTGCTCTTTGGTCATTTAAGCAAAAAGCTGCTTGTTGTACTGAGGAGCATTATGACTTCAAGTAGCTTTTGCTGTACAGAACAATCCTACACATAAAAATCAGCAAATCGTTATGTAAGGTATGAAAAAGAAATTGAAAATCTTCACACTTGAAAGCATATGACACTGAGCCTGGCACAAATCAGATATTAATATTGAATAAGCCTACTGAATGAATATTTTCATAGACATTTGAAAACATCAGTTGTCTATTAAATTGAGAGAGTTAAATCAAACCAGACAAACCTCCACAGGTGAGGTTAGGAATTCAGATTATAGAGTAATGGCTCAAGATACATAACCTCACAAAAATGTATGTGATAGCAAGCATCCATTTGACATCCTCTTAAATTAAGTCGCCACACTGGCGCACGGTGGAAGGCTGACAGGCAATCAAATTAGAAATAACTGAAAACTAAAAGAACTAGGACGGATCTAACTTTAAAATCTGTTCCAAGCAGCAACAAGGTGAAACCTGCTATACAACCAGTGTCTACACAATGAAATTATATCCTGATAGGCCCACGAAGCTGAATCAAAAACGTCCACGAGAACATTGAACAGTAATAAGTATCTGTTCAGAAATGGGGGTGGGGGGGGGGATCTCTAATTACGAGACTGGGCTCCACAAATATAAATCTCAACTTGCTGATTTCGTCCAGATAACTATTTCCTAAGGTGAACAACAGGAACCCACACAAGGAATCAAATACAGTAATTCAAGTGTCAAGCTTGGGACAACTCCAGCGATCTCAAACCTTAGAACATAAAGCGCTTCAGCCGGCTAGTGCCTCGGTTTGAGAGTCTTCATCGCAAGAGACCTTTGAAAGAAACCCAAGGCCAAGGATAGGGTTTCACGATCATTGCAAATAAAAGCATGCCGTCCCCTGAGCCCGCGATCCCTCTTCCTCTCACTAAGGGACTGCACCCGTGAAAAGCCACCCTTTTATCTGGTCCAGGGACTGATGCCACACACCCCCGCCGGGACCACCTCCTGCAAAGCAGCGGGGTGGAGAAGTCACGCTCCAAAAACAAAGCAGCGTTCACCGCACCCCGAGGAAGGCGCACCTTTTACCCCAAACAGGATGCCGTGACAGCGGTGTCACCTGTGCGGGGAGGGGGGAAAAGGGGCCCCAAGACATCCCCGCAGACCAGTGCCAACAGGCAGCGATCAGCTGCCCCGCGGGCCCCGACGTCCAGCGCCAGCCGCTCCTTCCCCGGCTCCGCTCGGAAAACTTTCGGACCCCCCTCCCCCCCTGGGCGCGCCCCTACCTCCCGGGACCCCCTACCCCCCTGTCTCCTCTGTCTCCCCCACCCCCCTGCACCCGCGAGGCCCCGCCCCGGCCCCGCGCCCCCCGCCCCCCGGCCCCACTAGCACCCGCGTGCCCTCCGGGCGCGCCCCCGCGCGGGACCGGCCGACAGAGGGCGGGGCCGCTCACCCGTCCGCAGCTCGTGCTTGACAGTGAGGAGCTGCTCTCCCGCGGCGCCGCCGTCCCCGCTGGTGCCCGCGCCGCTGCCGCTGCCGCTGCCGCTCTCCTCCTCCATCTTCTCCCTTTCGGATCCCGCAGACTTCTCCGAGGGGACGCGGGGAGGCAGCGGACGCCCGGGCCCCTCACGGACCCCCGCTGCAGCCCCAGGAGCCGGGGCGCGGCGGCTCCACAACTCGGACGCTGAACAGAGTCTCTTTCCCGCTCTGGCCGCGCAGCTCCACGCTCCTCCGCCTCCTCCCCCTCCAGCTGGCACCGCTAGTACCGCGCAACCAACCCGCCCCGCGCTGCCCCGCCTCCTCCTCCTTCTCCTCATCCTCCTCTCGGCCGCCCCGCCCACAGCCAGCAAGGTACCGTAGCCACTCGAGCCGCCGGCGCTGATTGGGCCCAAGGCGCGCGCATCTCTGGGTGGCGACTCCCATTGGACAACCCGCGGTGACGCCTCAGCACGCGCCCCGCCCCCGCTCCTCGAATTGTTGTTGCTTGGCGGGGAGGCAGCCCAGGCAGGAGCGCGGCTGCTCCGATTGGTGCGATCCGAGGGCCTGCCCCGCCCACTTCCCCGGTGCGCACGCGCAGTCAGGATCTTCCCTTCCCTTCTCTGACCTCCCCAGAACGGTCACGCCCCCAACCCCCGCGCAGCTTCTATCTGTTAGTAAACAGTGTCTAGTAGCCAGGAGGCGCTCGGGGTGTGTGATTGGCTATCGCTGAAAGAGGCGGGAAGGCTGATTGGAACGTTTGGTCCGCCAATCACGGTGGACAGAAGAGGGGGCCCCCTGAGGATTTCGCTTCTCACGCACGTGTTTGCAGGACGAACCTAGGATCCTAGGTACTCCGCAGGGGTGTGTGATCGGTGGAAGACAGCGTTCCTTAAAAAGGTAGTGAACCCTAAACAAGTGAAGTGGAATATGTGCTTACATACAGGGAGTTCTTAGCAAAAAAGCCTTCCCCAGCTCTAGATGAGGACTTTTGCAAAGGATACACATTTGCATTTTGTATAAGACACGTTAGTAGGCACGAAGAGAATGCAGAGGTTAATAAAGTAAAATATAACCCCTCTCCCCAAGCAGTTTTCAATAGAATATGAGAAAAACAGATCATCTGTGTATATACACAGGAAGCTAAAAAGCAGAATTTGAAATAAAATAGTCATACAAACAGAGAATCTAATTGATGGCAATAATTATTCTCAGTTAGAAATGCTGGGGAAGGCTTTTAGGTGAGGAGGCATTTGAGATAACCAATTTAAAGGATGGGAACAATGGAAATGCCAGAAACAGACATTTCATAGAAATGATAATTGTGACCACGTGGTGAGCCAGCAAGGCCATGGCATACTCAGCCCAACGTTGGGTGCCATATGTGCCGAACCAGTTCAGCCAGGTTCAGTGAGGAGCCTAAGAGGGGGCAGTGAAGGATTAAGAACAGACAGACAAGAGAAAAAAAGCTGGGTCTGGGTGGGACGCTGTCCTCTCTGATGGAGAGATAGCGACAACGCCATAGACTACAAGCCGAGTCTTTATTTTATAGCCAGATTCCACGAGGCAAAGTAAGGGCATGATACCTACAACATTCTCCTGGGTTTTGAATCTACTCAATTACATGCACCTGAACTCTATCAAGCCCACATCACTCAGCCACGTGGGACCACACGTTCGGACCTTACGTTCAAGCTTACAACTATAGCCTTTGGGTATAATTGTGCTGGGATGGCTTTGCCCTCCAAGCTAGGACTTGCATGCGGCTTTGCCATGAGAGGACTGTGCCCTCTCATTAGTTCGAAGCTTGAACCTGTCCAAACATTGTAGCTGCTGTCCAGCTAAGGCTGGTGAAATGTGATGTAAAATAAGATACAGCTGGAAAGGTGGAGGACGTTGATTACCATGCTAAGCGATGCATATTTTACTTAGTTCAAATGTTTCAACCATTTAAAACATTGAGAAGGATGGGCGGAAGGGAGAAGGAGAAAGATAGCAGGGTGAGAATACCGTTTCAAGGATAGAATTTGTGAGGCCTAATTTCTGGCAGTGGACATGAGAATGGACAAAGGAGAGAGAATTAAAGAGGGATACTTGGGCATCATTCACATAGAAGTGTACTTTTAAACTAAGCATGGATTAGATCAGAAGTCAGCAACGTTTTTCTGTAAAGAACCAAATAGTAAATATTTTAGGTTTGCTAACTATGTGGTCTCTTTCACAACTACTCAACGCTGCTATTGAAAGCAGTCATCAGCAGTAAGTAAACTAATAGATATATCTGTGTCCCAACAAAACTTGATTTATCGACATTGCAATTACATGTCACATAATTTTCACGTGTCATAATATATTCTTATTCTTGTCAACTGTTTAAAAATATAAAAACTATTCTTAGCTCTTGGGCCATTAAAAAACAAACAGGCAGTAAACCAGATTTAGCCGCAGGCCATAGTTTGCAGACTCCAGGGTTAGATCGCCAGGGAAGATTAAGCAGAGAAGTCTCCCAGTCCCTTCCAGTTGCCCTCAGCTGCCTGGGCTTATCCACCTGAAACATTTATCCCAGCGATTTTCAACCTTTCTCATCTCATGGCACACATTAACTAATTACTAAAATTCTGCAGCACACCAAAACATATATTTTTTTGCCAATTTTGACAAAAAATAGATATTTTTTTAATTCATTCAAACCAAATGGCTATTGTTGGTGGTGTCATTTTTTTTATTTGACAGTCTAAGGGGAAAAGGGCAGTGCCCCTCACTAAATAGTCAGGTATTGGGTGTTTTTGAAATTCTTGTGGCACACCAGTTGAAAATCGCTGCACTGAAACCATGACTGGCTACTTACTTGTCTTTCTCCTCCACAAGTAGTGTGCTATCTGTAGCTAGGGGATGAGGTTGTACAATTGTTCATGTGTTCACTGAATTGCTTTTACATCAATTATATACCAGGTACTGTGGGAGATACCAGAGGCACAGCGGGAGCAAACATGCAATCCTTGCACACATAGAGCCTGCAGTCTAGGAATTGAAAGAAATGCTAAGTCGTTACATAAGGAAATGTAAACTTTCCATTGTGATCATGCTGTAAAGGAAAATTACAGGGTGCTACAATAGAATTTATCAGGGTCCTCATTTCAGTGAGGGGAGCTTGAAGATCTTTATAAGGAAGTACTATTTCAACTGATTCTTAAAGATGAGTAGGTTTTAACCAGGATGTGGCAGAGACTGGCCTGATGCCTACCAATCTCATTTCCTCTTCCTGGACACACAGGAGAAATATGATTTTTTTTTTTTCCTTTACAGTTAAGCTAGAGTCATGTGATTATGATGTGGCCAATGGGGTGTGGGCCGATGTGATGTGTGCCATCTCTAGGCCTGGCAAAGAAAACCCTTGCATAGTCACCCACACTTCCTTCTCTTTCCCCAGCATTGCAAAGACCATCTATTGAATGAGGGGGTGACACAATTTAGAAGAATCCTGAACCTCTGAGTCTCCATTTGAAGAAGAGCCACCATGACCTACATCAGACCTACTGTCATGTGAGCAATAAGTAAATATTATTGGACATAAGCCACTGCCATGTTGTTTGCTACTAAAATATAATTAAGCTATCCTGGTGATTTCACAAGTGAATTTTTGAGGTGAGAAAATTCTAGGACAATGCAGATGCAAAATACTGAGAAAGCAACGATCCTATTGTATTTTAGGGATTGAGAGAATGACAATAGGGTCATAACACAGAAAGCAGGCGTTGAGGTGTGAGAGGCAGGCAAGTACCCAGACCCAAAGTGTGTGGTAGGACTTATATTTTTGGAGTTTTTCCTGTGTGGAGTTAAAAGCAATGGAAGGAATTTAAACAGTGGGATGATATAATTGGGATAGTATTTTCAAAAGGTCACTGTGGTTAGTGGTTAGTGAGCTGGAGGGAGCAAGAGGGAATATAGGGAGACCAGATGGGAGATGATCACTGTAGTCTGGGAAACAGATGATAACGGGTGTAGTCGATATGAGAAGAAATAGAATGTTTCTAGATATACACAGGATACTCCCCCCAAAAATGTATATACACTTGAAATAATTATTAAGTCCAGTGGGTTAAATCTGTGTATTAGTATATATTGTTTTAGATTGTTAAAATACCCTGTATTTGGGACTTAATGAGTTATTGGATTTGGTGGGTAAGGGAAAAGGGGGCATCTGAATTGCACCAAGTTTTTAGCATGAAGAATTGGGTAGATGGAAGAGGATAGGGGTAAATTTAAGTAAAAGCATAGACCAGAGAATATCAAAAGTTTAAATTCAAAATATCCAATGCCAATATTAAATAGCTATGTGATGTTAAATATAAGTCCGATCACACACTTTGGGACTGGGTATTTGCCTGCCTCCCACACCTCACTGTTTGCTGTCTGTGTTATGATCCTATTGCCATTCTCGCAATCCCTAAAATACATAGGCTCTTTGCTTGCCTCAGTACTTGAGAACTGCAAGAAAGTCTAGCATGGAGTCTTGAGAACTACAGAGGGGTCTAGCACAGAAATATAACTTTAAGAATCACTGGCATATATGCCGAGACTGGTTTGGCTCAGTGGATAGTGCATTGGTCTGCGAACTGAAAGGTCCCAGGTTTGATTCCAGTCAAGGGCATGTACGTTGGTTGCAGGCACATCCCCGGCAGGGGGTGTGCAGGAGGTAGCTGGTCGATGTTTCTCTCTCAACGACATTTCTAGCTCTCTATCCCTCTTCCTTCTTCTCTGTGGAAAATCAATAAAATATATTAAAAAAAAAAAAAAGAATCACTGGCATATGGATGATACTTGAGGCCAGAGGTATGAAGAAGATTAATTAAGGCGAGAATGAGCAGAAGGAGGGAAGAGGAACCTAAGACTCAAGTCTTAGAAATTTCAAAATTGAGATGTTGGAATGAGAAGGTGAAACCAGAGATGTCAGAGGAGTTTTGTATCTTGGAAGCCAACATTTTTCAAGAAAGAGAGAGTGGTCAGCTACGTCACATGCCCTGAGAGGTCACATAAGATGAGGTCTGGAAAGAATCTATGAATTTGCCATCTTGGGTGCCAC